AAAAAATACAATACAAGAAACAAAGTAACCGAATGTATGCCGCATTTCAAACTAAATTCGCACGCGTATATTCGTCAATACACAACAACATAATTAATGAGCATGTAGATCTGCCCAGATAAATTTGAACTTGGTCGCACGCTAGACATAAGTTTCGAAAAAAATTGGGTTTTGGTCTACTTAAAATTGAAATTTGGAGTCATATTTTGAATGAATGTGAATTGCAACAACTTGATTATATGCTGGATTTATATGTGACAATTCTATATGAAGTACATCGGATTGCAGAAGAGACGAGCAGCGTGTTGACATCTGCAATATGTGTCTGTTCTGTCACTGAATATTTGAAATCATAATTTTTGAAAATTATGAAATCTTTCAATTGCAATTATCAAAAAGACGCTATGGAATATGCTTTTTTATTATCCTTGCGATAAGGAGGATGTAATTGCACTTGGAATATAGTCGAAATTACAATACAATTCCGAAATGTATAATCAGGCTTGAGAAACAATGACATACAAAATGTAATTCAGATTTGCAGAACTAAGTACATTTTAAGGAAATTCATGGTGTAAAACTGTAAGTATATTTTTGGCTATTCTTGTTAGCAGCTAATAAAGAGACAGTTTATCTTTGTGACTCGCATTTTATTTGTAAGAACCCTTTTTTGCATCTATAGCTAACCTAAATTCGAAACAAAATTATCGCGTAATGTGGCAAAGCAGCTGGTATTTGGTAGTTAACGAAACGTCTGCTTTATTTCATTCAGAAACAATTTTAATAAATAAAACGTAAAGCATCTACTACAAATGTGTACATGCTTTGTTTATAAAGTAGCTCATAATACACTATCGGGCACACGTGAGGTTAATATGAAGTTGCGCGTCAGTGCAATGTAGTAAAATATTGCACGATTCTGACAATATAAAGTTAACTGAGAAAAAATGACATATAATAATTTATGTTATTAATTACTAAGTCTCGTAGTAAACAATAACCAAAGTATCCTAACATGGTCTGCGAATCACATAGCATATACCACATCATCCCTAACCACGCACTAATACGTATCACTCGGCAATACAAAGAACAGCTTTCACCAAAGCCATAGTCCTATTAAGTTTTGCTTCAACTACGATACCGGCCACATGAACCAAATATTATAGATCAGTATGATTATTTCATGCCCGTGATATTCTTAAAACAAATATGCACACCAACACACTCACACCCATACAAACGCACATACAATAGCCTTTAGAGTAAACGCCTTAAACGTTTCCATTTGTACCAATGTGCTATTTACCTGTAATGCTTCCGTACAAATGTTTTTCTCCTTTGATCTGGTTCTTTTATTTACACAATCCATAAATGCCATTGGAGTGTGTGTGTGTGTATGTGTGTGTGATATTTGGATTTTTAGCGTAGCTTTAAGAATTTTTCAGTAATATCGCTACAATGTATGAGTGTGGCAGTTTATAGTGATGTCTAGCACTGGGGCATCATGCCGAAGACATGTAGTATGATGTCCCACCCAGTCACATTATCCTGACACCAGGCCGACCAGTCCTAACACTAGCATGATGTCCCACCCAGTCACATTATCCTGACACCAGGCCGACCAGTCCTAACACTAGCATAATGTCCCACCCAGTCACATTATCCTGACACCAGGCCGACCAGTCCTAACACTAGCATGATGTCCCACCCAGTCACATTATCCTGACACCAGGCCCACCATATAGGCATGAAGTTTTCATGATATAGAAGTTCTTCATGCATCGGATAAGCATCATTTTTTGTTTACTTGATGGCTGGTATACATAGGAAATGGTAGCCTTGGATACAAGGAAGATTATAAAACTTAGAGAAAACCATCAAACCAGAATGGTGACCACTGCTGGAATGGAGGATTGAACCCAGGCTCACTGGTGAAAACTATTGAATATGTAATATAATTCCTCGTTGCAGGATTTTATTCACAAGATACTCATGATGCAAATCAATGCTGTTTATTATCAAATTTACAGCAGAAAATGCTTTTTTAGTTGCCATTAAAGACAAGTTAAAGATAATAACTTCTGCAGCTTTAATTTTTGTAAAGGTAGCTACTGAGTACTGTAAAGGTAAATTATAATATATACTAATTAATGTAAAGACATTTAATGTTAACCTTTAGTAATATTTTATGATTTAAATGGGGTCTTTTTTACCTTTTGAGAAATGAAAATGATTCCCATTAATTACTTAATGAAAACACTTACTGTTTCTTTACAAACTAAAAGATCTTCTTTCATACACCTTTTGTTTATTGGTACATAGGGCCATTTGCATTCATTTTAGGCCCCTTACATTATTTGGAAATATCATCTTTAAGACCTTTAACATTTTATGAAAATTTGTTTTAAAGTTAAGTAAAGGTGAAGTAAAGTTTTTCTTTTTTTTGTATTTTAAGTGTTAGTAAAGATTATTTTTCAAGGAGTGCCAGTCCTAACACTCACCTCATAACGCTGAGTTCCTAGCGAGGCAGCTGTTAGTAAAGTTTTTATTGGTTTGAGTACTTGAACCGATTTAATACTCATATTTCTAAAAAATATATGCCAATGTTCTTGCATTATATATCTTTTGTGTGTTAAATTTGATTAAATTTTATTTTAAAGCAGAACCAATTTTCTGCGATCGGCTTAATACTTCTAGTGTTCATCATAGTTTTAAAACACTATTGAATTATAAAATCACGTATAAATTATATATTAGAAACAAATCATAGGTGCTTCTTAATTTTCCTTTAATCTAGGGTTTAATATTTTAAAATAAAGCATTTTTATTATACTTTTCATCTATTTCTCACACCAGTATAAATATTACAATATTTTACAAACTCCTCTCTCTCTCTCTCTTTATATATATATATATATATATATATATATATATATATATATATATATATATATATATATATATATATATATATATATATATCCATGGCAGACTTGTTGTTTTGCTTACTTAGCCAAAATGCTATCGTTGTCTTGAGGAACAGTATGGTATAAGATAATTTCAAACAAGGCCAGGGTACATATTGACATCATGCTATTAGTTCATTATACTGTTACTTCTTTTGATGAATGAAAATTATATGAGTTACCATATTTGCAATAGTTGCAATAGAGATTACCACAGAAGAGAAAATATGATTGATTGTAACGTGTGAAATGTTAAATCTGCAAGGAAAAACACTTGCTTGACTTAACACTTCAACTATAGCTTGATACTTATTTGACGTGAACTGATATAGATGGAAGCAAATTGGATGTCAAGTCGGCGAAAAAAAAACACGCATATTGATTTAGACATTACATTTCCCTAAGAACTTGTTGAATATAAATTATAAAAAACTAATTATATATTTGTAATGTAAAGAAACTTCATAACATGTCTTTAGCATCCTAAAAGTAAATAAATAAGGAATATAAATAAAGAAATTAATAAAGTATTGGTCTGTGAGGACAACACACACTTGACCATATAACTGAGGTTCAAATATCAAATGAAAAAACAATATCTAGTTTGCTTGCAAAAATAATTAGAAATGATTAGAATGCATATAATTTGGAAGAGAGTAAGGAGTTAAAAATAAACAATAAATTCCTTAAATAAATATCTCTTTGTGCTTAAATAGACGTTAACAAAAAAAGTTACTATCCAAAATATTGCCTAAAGTTACATAACTCTATAATAAACAAAACAGAACAAAATATAAAATAAATAAATAAAAAAAACTCAAAAATGTGATATACCTATTTGAATTCTGCAAGTTGACTGAACCCCTACCAGCAGCCCACAAAGCCTTATATGCTTCTGACAAAACCCACAATCAACAGATCCCAGAAAACTCACAAATCCAACAAAACCCACAGCGCCCACAACGCCCACAAAGCTCACAGTTCTAACAAAACCCACAAAAACCACAACCAACATCCCACAAAACCACAACCAACAACCCACAAAAACCACAACCAACAACCCACAAAAACCACACTTTTTGTTGGAAAATTTAAACAAGCATGAACGGATATTACATGTGTAAATTTATTCAGTCTTCGCAATTATTATTCATAGAAATGTCCATTTTGATATTTGCACATTATTACATTGTGATTGCCCAAGAAAAGAATAAAAAAATCAGTTTTGTAATTCGTGACACATACCGCGTTATGCTGTTGCTCATAGCATTGGTTCGGAAAATGTGTTATGCACTGTTACAATATTACCAAGGTAGACCGCGTGAGAGGGTAGACAACATATATGTACCAAAGAAATAAAGAAGAGATTAAACTAACTTAAATACGATGATGTTTACAAATGAAACATCAGGGACTATAAACACATTGAGTATCTATCGTACAGTCTTAAACAGTTAACTAGAAATAGTCATTAATGAAATTATCAAGGGTGCCAGCCGTCGGCATGATACTCCTGTATTTGCGCTAACTCAAAACACGTAGACGTGCTAAGAATTAATCGACAAAGTAAACAAAACAGAGGATCCATGAAAATATTAATGTCAGCTCATTTGAGAAATTCACTGGTAATGCACTGATTTAAAAAATCGAGACAGAAATAAGCGGCTTGTATGGTTTTTGCTGTATACAAGCATGCATAACTCACTAAATAAATGCAGGTTACTGCCGGAAAGGCTGCCATATTTCAGTTAGTTCAAACAACTAGATAGTGTGTGTGTGCGTGTGAGTGTGCGCGCGCTCGCGTGACTTGGATTTTTAACGTAGCTTAAGAAATTTTTTTAGTCATATCGCTGCAGTGTGATAGTTTAGAATGATGTCTAGCACTGGGGTGTCATGCCGCAGACAAGTAGCATGATGTCACACCCAGTCACATCATCCTGACACCAGGCCGACTAGTCCTAACACTCTAACATATTAATGCTGAGCGCCTAGCAAGGCGGCTGTTAGTACAACTTTTATGTGTCTTTTGTATGACTCGGCCCGGGTTTGAACCCATGACCTCCCACATTTGAGACGGACACTCTAACCACTAGGCCACCACAACCATCAAACATCTAAATATTACTTAATGTTTTATAATTTGTGGTTGCGCTATAGCAAAATATCAACAACAAAAAATATCCATCTGCAACCAATGCTTTGTCTTCAACAATATACGACGTTTCTTAAATTCTCTCCATGAAGTCAAGTGGTTAGAGCGTCCGCTTCAGATGCCAGAGATCGCGGGTTCGAACCCCGACCGAGTCTTACCAAAGACTTCTGAAAATGGTACTAGCAGCTGCCTCGTTAGGTACTCAGCATTAGTGATAAGGCTGGTCGGCCTGGTGCCAGGATAATGCGACTGAATTGGACATGATCCAACATATAGATGTAATTAAATATTTAATTTCATTACGGTCGTAATTGTTTGAATATTTGACAGCATGTGTAGGTTATCAATTTATTTTAATCAATGTCAATGCAGGGGTAAGTTTGAATTTCGAATTAATATACGTGGTTGACACTGAGAAATAAATATTCCAAAGAATATACTTAAAAATCAGCTAATAGTCTGTCAGTTCTCAGTCTGAATGTACGAAAGCACTATTTGACGAGCGACGGGGCGTGGGCCGAGTTGTCTAAAGAGCTCGGCTTGACACACCATTTATGGATGTCACCTCGACCAAGGTGGTTATATGGCGGTGGTTAAATTTCGAAGTAGCTTTCTGTTGTTTGGTGGTTCTTTCCGTAATCATCCATGGCTCCTCCTATTTCAGATATACTACTCGCAATGTATCATGTGCTGGAAAAAAGGTGTTAAAGAAAAGAAAGTCGAACCAATCACGACAGTATCACATATATGCCAATCAGGATTAAGATACTTTTTTTAAAAAGTCTACTCCACCTACATATAAGTGTCTAACTGGCATGGTTAGCAAGCAAGTTTTACAAACTTATTCATTTAAAAAAAACGGCGCTTTTAAAGTCATTTTCCTTGATTCGTACAATGAACATTACTATTATCATAATAAGGGAAGAGCAATATTCACCCTCGTGCACTCTTTAGAATTCAGTCTGTGTCTGCAATGTGTTGAATGAATATTGTACGCTGAGTTGTGCAACAAGGTTTCGTTTGATTTGATGGCAAGTTTTGCAGTTTATATGTCGTCATGACTACCCATCCTCGCAACAATGATTTCAGCAACATGACTTCACTCAGCTTTTGTTCATTTTAATCAAATTTCTTACGATGCTTTATTCTGATGACATTAAACGCGTTTAATTTCGAATGCTCATTTTCATCGTTCGTCTGATTTATTGTTCCTGATTTTTGTTTGCCACATCATAATATTAAAAAAGATTGTTTGATTTCCACCGAATTTTGCATGCATCAATATATTGATGAATCTTTGAATAAGTTTGCTTTAAACGTTCCATAAATTTGAATGATTCTATTTTACACTGATTGCCCATCCTTCAGAACTCCTATCAGGAGCATAATAATACGAATTACTTTTGGAATATGTGTCGGGTTTTGGATTGGATAATGATTGATCATTATTTTCGCCTAGCTGAGCCATAATCAATTTATAATCGATCTATTTGTGCAGAACTAAATTTAACCATTGGCAATCACGTAAATCTTAATAGTGTGTCACTTTGATGAAAGTGATTGATGCTGGACAGTCGAGTAATCAGAACAAAATCTATTTCGTTTTAAACCAAATTTAGCATGCAGTTTTATAGTGAAAAGAATTACGTCCCCTGAATGCCTGTTATGATGTTGACTAGGATTCAGCATATATATATAGGAAGTTTTGAATGTGGTTGATTTCCAACCTAAACTGCATCAATTGAAAGAATTATGATCACTGATCTAATGTTCATTTATGCAGCATTATTTTATTCTGTACTATAGATTTCAACTGAATTTAGCAATCAGCTTGAATTAGGGACATTTTGAATGTCAGTGATTTCTAAATTTATCAGCATTATTCAGAGGAGTCATGACTCCTATTTGCTCTTGCTTTGGTTTCGGCAATATAACTTTAATTAGGATTGTCTGACTGCAATTAAATACTGTTTTCCTCAGATGAATTGCACCTACATCTTACTGTGGTCTGACACAGATGAGATTGGACTTCTGATTTACTGTCTTCATAGACTGGTTTTTTTTTTCGGCATAATCTTAGCATTGAATATTGGACGTTCGTTTCAGCGGTGGATGTCAATTTAGTCTGAGGTCTGGCTTTGCATTTACGAGACTCTGTATCAGCTTTGTTTGCAATCACATACATCCCCTAATAGTTATTTTATGCATTTAATATCATTCATTGCTGGAGTGGTTGGTACTTATTCACTCTTTGGTTAAATGCTTCGCATATCAGTAATAATTTGATTTCATATATACGTCTTCTGCTGCTTGGCGTCATCAGAACACCTGCATAAAATTGATAACCTTGTACATGCTTGTTTATAGAGTTTTTGATCATTTTGGCTTTTAAAAAACTTACGAAAATTCACTATTTATGACATTTCAGAGCAGATTGAAGTAAATGGAATCTTTTACAATGCACTCATTGGTATATTGTTTTCTTCATAATTTGTCTATCACTGCTCCTTCTAATTTTGGTCAAGTAAAGTGAATATTTTCAAAGATTTTTTGTCAGAGTACCTGTAGTAAAAGCAAAGTTAAGAGAATTCTGTAGTCATTATGTGTGTTCATCAACAACTTGATTTCCACGAGATAATTTTATTACGAATTATTAGAATTTAACTCCATATGGTGTAAAGATCAACGTTGATGAAATATCACATTATGTAGTTTTAGCTTTATAATCACCATTTGGAAGAGTTATAGGCACAGAATGCACGTCCACAAATTTTGTTTGTCTCATTTACCTTTACCAACAATTTTTTTTATTGCAAACCGAATAAAAACTATAGCCTACACTGGTGAGTTCTTAAAAAAATACTGGTAAATCTCTTCTTTCTTGGCTTTTACAACAGATATTCCTTTCGAATTCCCGTCATTATAACTTATGTTTGCTCATCTTAACGCTCTCAAAATTGTATTAGATTTTATGCAGATCTTGGCAAATCTCTTTAAATTTTTGAGACCTTAAAACAGTTCCATTTTCTTAGGTTCAGTGGAAACATTTGCATAAGAAATAACCCCTGACTGCCTTTTTGCAGTCTTTGGTTTCCGCGGCATTACACTACTAAGGTTCGTTGGATTTCAGCCAAATTTAGGATGCTATTCTATATTTACCTGTCCTTGAACGAGGCTTGTTTTTAGCATTCGAAGACGTCATTTATAGGAATTACAGTCCCCTGCTTACTGACATAAGTTGTAGCCCACAATCAATCATCCTTCCTAATTTGACGTGCTCTGTATAACATTACTCATGATTTTTAGATTTCAGCTAACTGAATCTCTCTCTTTTGTATTGATAGAACCTTGAATGCGTTTGGTTTATTGCTTTTCACGGTATTATTTACACATATCATGTACCCATGATAGTTCCATCATTACTTTACCAAAGATTATTGGATTTCAGCTAATTCTGGTATGCATGCAGCTTTAAATATTGAAAGACTTTGAGTGGCTTTAATTTTTAGAAATTCGCTTTTTAAGTGGAAGAGTTCGAGTCCCTATTTGACCGTCCTATGCACTGGGCAATGCGAGTACCCATGCCATCTTATCACACAGCTCCTGGCAAACCGATTTATATTTAGTCAATAGATATTTGGAGAATTCTAATAAATGTGCAAGGCTAATCAATCGCATTGGGTTTCAAGTCTTCAGTGATATTTGGTATCTTACGGGGAGGAATATCGGAAGACGAAGTATAAAGATGTTACTATGTATCAGTTATTTAGTTTTATTTTCTAAGCATTCAGTGGTTTAAAATCGACAGTACACTCCTGTAATTCTAAATTCATACGGAGTTCGTAACAACATTTGGAGCTTATTGATGAATAGTTCCAGCTTCCAAAAAGGACGTGTCCACAACAAACCTTAAATAAATATTCATAAACGTCGTGATCGCGCTGTTACTGACCGGATTCAAGTGTGACTAGGATCGTGTTTATTTGTTAATGAAGGCCTACTCGTGCATTTTTATTATCTGGAAATTTCCCTGTTAGGATAATTAATGTATATCGATGCATGAGTAATGTCATGACAAGTCTGATGTAAAATGGTCAGATCAACAAAATGCAATTGCATTCTAAGTATTGGATTTAGCAATGAAGGCTTTTGAAAACATTGAGAAGAGAGTAACAATGTTTGTGTTCAAACGATATAAACATAGTACGACTTTGTGTAAAGAAAATGCATCAGCAACTAAATTGGTTTGAATGCATTTGATGTAATTAGATTTGCCTTTATAAGCAATGTGTAACTTTGCAGATCTCGCCATTTGTGAAAAGAAAATAATAGAATGTACGTATATCTCTCCTCTTACCTTCATTCTGTGTGAGTAGATAGAGCATTTACAGTGTTTCGCTTCATACCAGTGTCTTGTGTGGGTAGGTAGAACTTTAGCATTGTTTCTACTCATACTTGTGTCCTGTGTGTGATAATGCGTTTGCAATGTTTCTCCTCAGACATGTGCCATGTGTAAATAGATAGAGCGTGAACAATATTTCTTCTCATACCTGCGTCCTGTGTGAGTTGATAGAGCGTTGTAATGTTTCTTCACTTACCGGCATTATGTGTGGATAGAGCGTTTGCAATGTTTTTTTTCAAATCCGTGTCCTGTGTGAGTAGATGGGGCGTTTGCAATGTTTGTTCTCATACTTGTGTCCTGTGTGAGTAGATGGGGCGTTTGCAATGTTTGTTCTCATACTTGTGTCCTGTGTGAAAAGATGAGGCGTTTGCAATGTTTGTTCTCATACCCGTGTCCTGTGTGAGTAGATGAGGCGTTTGCAATGTTTGTTCTCATACCCGTGTCCTGTGTGAGTAGATGAGGCGTTTGCAATGTTTGTTCTCCTACTTGTGTCCAGTCTGAGTAGATGGGGCGTTTGCAATGTTTGTTCTCATACTTGTGTCCTGTGTGAG